GTATTAAATTCACAACAAAAAAGACATTTTAACATGTTTACATTACTGTCTGTCAAGATGTAACGGGCTTTTTACCTATTTTAGGGCTTCAGAGGAGCAACATATATATGTATAAAATATATATACGTATACATATCTATATCTATCTATCTATCTATCTATCTATATATATATATATATATACTGTATTTCCTCAAGAGTTTTCTCATATCACCTAAATCACTTTATTAAGAATAAATCCTGTGGCATGCTTCAGGAGTAGTGCCCCGAAACGGGGGCAGGGGGTTACAAGTAAGTGTTATCCAGGATGGGAGATTAAGGCTGACCATAGTGCAAAGGCTGGGTTATGCTGACATTTTGCAGGTGACACACACAGGTAGCCAGCTAACTTGAACAATCTGTCCCTGTGCAGAAACCTCAGCCTGGCTCTGCCAATGCTATGAGTGGCTGGTGGTGGCATTTTTAATGCTATTCACAATACACTCTATTTTATAATAGCACAGCCAGCTGTGGCCAGTAATTGCATGTCTTTGTTCCTAAGGTTTTCTAAAGAGCACATCAGTAGGGTAAACATGGATTTGCAGAGTGTTTTTCCTCCAGCCTAAACAAGTGAGTCACACTATCTGACCAGCCCTGTTGGTCTGAAAATACTGCTCCTTCTCCAGGAAGTCGAAGGTCTGTAATTGAGAAGAGGAATGACCAGGGGACAGGCAGCCAGACTTTCAGCAACATTTGAATATCTTAAGTAGAGAGTGGCTGTGAGCAAAATAAAAACATGTCATGTGCCCAGGTGACATTTTGTAACAAACAAGGAAATCGCAATCCAGGAAGTGTTGTATTTTATGCCAACAACAGCCTGACAGTTTTCTCTGTAAAGAAAACATGACACTTTTCCAAATATCAGAGGAGACGTCCACTGCTCATGGGATTCCTGTCCTGTCACTGAACTGGAAGGTCGCAGTCTGGCTTCATGATTTCTGTGCCTTCACAATGTGGTGGTGGAAGGTTTGCACGCTAAATGCTGTAGGCTAAGGGAAATCTTTCCCTTCATCTCTGAAAAAAAGTGACAGGAGGAAAAAGGTCCTATGCTGACAGCAGTAACCTCTAGGTTTAAAGGCTCTGCCCTAAGCAACGGCAAGGAAAATTGCCCATGCTAATGTGTTGCCAGAACGGTCCCACATATGCAAAGAGAAGGGGGTGCCAAGCAGACCTGTCCTGCCCCAGGTTCTATGGTGGCCTGTGGTGGGAGGGATTCTTATTATGCCTTCAAAAATCACATTTTAATAACAGCCCTGGACCTGGGGTTTCTCCACCTCCATTTCACACTGGGCATGATCAAATGTGCTGTCTACACTGTATTCTCCAGATGGGGGGCGATTCTGAGCCAGCCACACACTGGCATTCAGGGGAACCTGCTTTTTGGGAAAGCTCACTGTAGAACTGCTTTGAGGTGTCTTAAAATGCTTATGGTCATCCTGTCATTTCCGAAAAGTGCACACCAGGAGAGAAGCTCTGTAGGCACATGTGAGCGGTGCGTACTTCCGGACGGGGGCAGGTGTGCGTGTCGTGGCGCCAGCCAGCCAGTGTCCTAGGAGGACGAGCAGAACAAGGGAGGCAGCGTTAATAAGAATACAAGACTGACAATGAAGACACAGTTTGCTTCCCTTTCACAGTGAGGAGACTAGACTTTGAACCCTGATAAATGTTGATGCCCTGTTTTTATCTGGTCTCAGCTGTGCTACTGAAATAAAAAAATTCTTTCAACCAATTTCTTTTAAGAGTGGGGTTCCATTTTAATTAGTAGAAAGGCAAAATGTCACTTGCCATGTCAATACATAATTCTTTAAGCTAAAGGGAAACAGGCTGTTGCTTACAACTCAGAAAAAAAAAAAATAAGAAAAAACCAGGCTTTAAAGCGGAGAGCAGAACTGAAACCGATTTGCTCTGTGCACCCCCGACACACCCCTGCCTGGGCTCCAGGGTCCTCTGCAGCCCTCTCTACAGCTTGGACTCCAGGTTATATGCTTCCTGTTGCTCCTTTTATAAGCAATAAGAATTTAATAACTGAGGGCAACTCTATAGCAATATTTATATGGGTCAAGTGGCTTAAAAGTATGCAATAAATGTAAAGTTATGAACCACATTGCCCCTTTTTAAATAATGCAATGAACACGGAGATATTATGTTTCATATTCTGGAAAAAGGTGTTTCGGGCTAAGCTCTTGGCGTACAGCAGACATGAAAAGTTATACTGAGCCCATAACAAAGTCACTGCCTGCTTAATATGGTGTGTTATGTCGAGCTCCTCATCCTAATCTCAGCCCACAGCAAGAGGGTCCCAGATGGTATCAACAAAACCTTAGCTTTCTCATTAGCAATCAGCAAATTCTCCTGGTGTCTGCTAGTTTCGAATCAAGGCAAGTGCCTCTACTCCTAGTGTGAAACCCAGTAGGATAATAGAAATAATGTTGCCTAATCAGTGGCGAACAGTTGAAATCCCACATTCATAATGGGGTGGAGTGAATTTGGTGAATTTGCAGCTTTAACAAGTATTAGGAGCCCTCATCTCCCCCGGGGTATGACAGTGTCGGGAGGCAAAAGCTGAGGCCACACAGCCCCACATATAGATGATCCCAACTTGCCGTGGGCCCTCCAGGACGATCATGGTGGGTAGGTTCTTCCTCGCTGGGAAATTGGTGGGAAGAGATATTCTCAGATTCTCTTGGCAAGTCTGAACAAAGGAAGATGTCTTGGGTTGGGTTCCATTGCAGGTTTATGGTGGCAGTTGCAATGATAACTTTTTATGGAGTTAGGTTAGAATTGTGTTTCTAGGCAGCTGGTCTGGATGGTACTTCCCAGACTACATGACAAAATTATGGAATTCATAGAAGTCCTTTCCAGCCTGGCTCTTTTTAATTTCAAGGGACTGAGCCCTGACTTACACTACCGTCTGCCTCCTCATTCTGTGATTTTCTGCAAGGAGTAAGTAACAAGTTGGCCTGGGATATTCAGCACCCTGACCTCTTACCCACCCACCCACATGGGTTAGGCTTAGGGCTACATACTCTTAAGTACAAGGTTCTCCAGTGCAGATGCAGAAGAGGCCTGCATTGAGATGTACTCATTTAGCAAGAATTAACTTTTAATCCCATGTCCCTTTCAGCACCTGTGCCATATCCATACCATGCTTTCCCTGTATACCTGTATCTTATCCCAGGCCTCTGCCCAGAGACCTACATCTCAAAAGCTGCCTGCCACACTCAAAGAGGCCAAAGCCTACAAGGCAGAAGCCTTATCTTCCATTGAAAGATAAGGAAAAGGAATCATAGCCAAGTTTCAGCTGGGCAGGTTTAACATGGACAGCTTCAGGGTGGATAGGTTTTTCAGAGTTTGATGCGTGGGCTTAATGCAGAAGAGGCCTCTTCCAGCATCCAACCACAGACACCAGCTTGGAAGCAAACTAGAGAAGTAACTCAGAGTTCAGGGAAGTTCTTTGAGAGGACTTCATCCTTCTCATATTCCTTGCCCCAGCACCAGAAGGTGACCAATGAAAACATGCACTTTTGGTGCCACTTTGCACCAGGGGACCTGCCCATCCCTCCTGCACAACGACAGGCCAGCGTTTCTGGCTTGGATACTGAATATGGTCAGCTTTGCTGGGTCTACATTTCTACACTGTAGGTCCATCTTCTGCATATTAGCATGAGAATTTTTTGTGCGTGGACTTGGTACTACTGAAGACTGTTAATTTCCTATCCAATTCCCTTCTAATCATCAGACCTCAGCGAGCCTCTCTGGCTCTAAGGGAAAGAACTAATTTGAGAAGCAGTCTAAGCATAGTGTAATTAGAAAGGTATCAATGTTGACAAAAAATGTCATGTGCTCAAGGTCCATGCCCACTATTCTCACCTTTTTATTATTCCTCCTTCGTTGATCACCTGCTTGTCTCAAACCAGTAGACTGCCCCACACTTTATGTGCAGCGTATGTGCTGTCACACTGCCCACTTCCCTACCATTGGCAGGAGTAAAGAAGGAAGAAAGGGAAGAAGAAAAGAAGGAGGAACAGACGGAGAGACGGAGGGGAGGGAGGAATGAAAGAAGAAAAGGAAAGAAGGAGAAAAAGGAGGGAGGAAAAAAGGAAGATAGGTTGTCTTCAAAACTTTCTTCTATTTGAGTACTTTGGAATGATTTCTGTTTTTTCTGAAGCAAAAACTGTCTCAGACTTTTGTTTTTGTAACACAGAATGATTTAAATTTTTAAAGTTTCACATTTTCTTTTAATAAATAATGATTTTTGAAAAGTGCTTTGTTTCAACTCGATATATTTCTTTAGGCAGAAAAGCCTGTATCCGTGGTAGCAAACCCATGGTATGCATGCCATGGTAAGCTGTTTGTATCACTGAAAACTCTAAAATTCACTATATGTTGCTTACAAATTTGAAACACCAGAGAGTACTGGAAATAGACGCTCATGTGTCCTAAGCACTTCTGTCCCTTCCCAATACCACCCTTGCTAATTAGGATTCCTGAGGTCTTTGCAGTGAAATAAAGAGAGCTGCCCATTGAGGAGAAATTCTCAGATCAAACCCAGCTAGTAACCTCCATCCTTACCAAGTTGCATAGCCTGTTCAAATGCTTTTGATCACTCCCATCCGGATCACTCTTCTATTAGATGCAGCAAATGCCTTCCCCACTTAACTGTGAGCTCTTTCAGGGCAAGACCAAGGCACTCAGCCAATGTGTGTTAAGTACATAACACATAAATCAGTGAAGTTCATGATAAAATTACACTACAGGCATAGATTTTCTACGCATTGGAAGCAATACTTTAAGCTTTGCTTTTGTCTCTTGGAAACATACTCAGTATTTCTTCCATGTAGTTATTTGACTACACCGTCTATGGAATGTGCCAGATTCTGCAGGGCAGTTTGGTGGAGGTGATCTGGAAATAGCACAGTCTAATAGTGTATAAATAGCTCTTTTCTGTAGAAATGGCTGAGATGATGGGGTCTCTGGAAGGAGAGAGCTCCTAACCTCAGCCTTCGCAGCTAACCAGGACTAAGTACCTGCACAGTGTTGGAGATGTTTGGCCTGGGTTCTGCCTCTGCTCTGCTGGCAGCCCCTACTTAACTTGGCAAGTCACATCATTTCTGAAAACCTTAGTGTTCTCCCATGTAAGATGTGGACATTGGTGGCATCTACTTTGGGCATCATCAGAAAGGTGAGTTGAGCTAAGGTATGCAAAGACCTCATCTAGATCCTGTGCATTGGTAGCCCTTTATAGCTCAGCTCTGCCGTGATAGTGAGAACACAGCCATAGACATTCGGTAAATAAATAAAGTGTATCTGTGTTCCAATAAAACTTTATTTATCAAAGAAGGTAGAGGGCTGGAGATTATCTGAAAACTGATGTTGCTGACCCCTGGCTTATTATACTATCCTGCTACAGCTACTTTTACTACCTAGACACAAATCTATAAGTTCTTTTGCCAGTGATACTAGCTTGGACTTGGCCAGCATTAATCTTTCTGTGAGAGGTTTCAATTGTCCTCAGAGATCAGGGCCCCATTGATCTTAAAATACTTTCATTTTGCATATTCCTTGGCCCAGCTAATCAAACATCATTGTGCATGGAAAGATATTGTTACTCCTGATGATGTTACTAGAGATATGATAATGTTGCTGTTAAACAGGTACTAGGCCAAGCTTGAACCTTACTTGTGTGTACAGTGCATGAAAAGGCTGTGTTTGAAATGTCATTCACAGAAAGCTGTGGCATGCATAAAACTTTTATTATAGGTGGCATGGTTGTGGCAGGGTAACATGGCAAACCCAGTGTGGCTCAGTGTGGCCCCTGAATACTCCTCAGATATAACCCCCCATAGATCCTGGCCCCCAAGGCTCAGGGGGAATGCTCCTGGACTTAGTTCAGTTGGCCTGGTAGAGGAACCACACACAGAAGGATCAAAATTACACCAGGCTGGGGGGCCAAAGTCCTGGACTCTGGTTTGCCTTATGAATCATGAGCACTCTTCCCCAAGCCAACAGCTTGTACTTTGTGCCCCATTCCTTCAGCAAATGAAGATAGAAAAGTTACCTTGCTCCTCCCTTCCTGAGGATGCAAAGTCCTATCATTTGATCAGCTCCCTCCTATGGAGCTCTGTGTTGAAGACATAGGAGGCTGTGCTCTGGGTCTTCTGGCTTGGGTGTCCTAGATCAGTGAGGTTTCTGCAGGGTTAAAGATGGCTTTCTGGATACCAGTGTCAGCCCCTTGAGGGCAGGGTGAGTTTCATCGTTGTAACTTGAAAAGTCCTGGAACTGCATGCCAGACATGACTCTATTGACTTTTCAAACAATTTGTGCCAACAAGGGGGCATACTGTATGAATTCAATAAACCTGGTGCTTCTTTGGGGAAGCTGATGCTAAGAAACCTGTGTTTTCTTGGTTGCATTATTACAAGGAAGTGAGTTTGAGTTATTGCTTTTTGCGGGCAATGCTGACCGTCCAGGGCTGATTTCATGCAGCGGAGGAAGACATCACCCCATTTGTAAACACGGACAGTGAGGCCGAAAAAAGTTATACACCCTACTGCAGGTTGCATGTGGCTAAACTTGGGCTGAAACCTAACATTGCAACCTTAAGACTCAAGCCTGAAGCCACTTGCTTGGACACACACTTTGCTGAAATAACATGGGGGTATCATTGATCTAACTTTTCACATTATCACCTCTAGTTGTGGGAAGACCTAACTTCTCTTCAGTCTTCTTTTGTATAGGTTGGATGTGGTATGGATGGGTGGCCGAATTTTTGTATTTAGGTGCTTATGGTCCAACCCGGGAGAGCCACCCAATCTCAGACTGTGGACTCAGGTCAGGATGAGGGGATGGGTGGGGGGTGTCCTCTATTCAGGGTGCATAGTTGTGCAGGCCACAAGGATATGCAATGTGCAGATTTCAGCAAAGCTGTGAGACAGAGGGTCTGACTCAAGTTATTCTGTCTACTCGTAGCATGCAGCTCTGTTAAACAGCTATAGAGGGCTTTTCCTGTGGACCAAGATGGCAAAAATCTTGAGAATCAGTTGGGGGAACTCAACAGAGCCCTGGAGTAGAGAAACTGCACTGCTTCTCCTGGAACTTCTCAACCTTTTGTCTGGAGCCCACAGAGCAGGCTATGGCCACCAAACAAAATCTATTATGAAGGTCAGACTCACACGCTATGAAATGATTTTCATGCTCACTGTACGAAACATTGGAAATGAAATGATCTCTCTCATTTCCATTTCCTAGTCACTTGTTCCTATTCACTAAACTGATTGATTGATTGATTTAGCAATCCCTGGACCTTCTCATTGAATGGTATCTCCAGCCCTTTTTTTAAGTTTTTATTTTGAGACAAGGTCTTGATAAGGCTGGGCTCCTGCCTTAGCCTCCTAGAGTGCTAGACGTTTCCTGTGGCCTATTATGGTTTGGATCTGAAATGTCTCTTGGAAGGCTCACATATTTTGAGGTGGGGTTTTTGGAATAAGACTGGATTCTGAAGCTGTAACTTCATCAGTGAATTCACTAATCCACTGATGGATCCACATTCTGACGGTATTATTAAGACATGATAGAAACAAGAGGTGAGTCTGGCCAAGGCTGTGTGTCATGCAGGTGTACTTTATGGGATTATATCCTGTGCTTGGCCCCTTCCTCACTGGCTGATTTCTCTCTGCTCCCTGGCTGCCATGAATTGAGCAGCTTGGCTTGGCTTTGCCGTGCCCTCCACCATGATAGTCTACCTCTCCACAGGTCTAGAAACAATGCATTCAGATGATCATGGACTGAAATCTCTGAAACCATGAGCTAAAGTAAATCCTCTTTCCCTTCAATTGTTTTTTAATGTATTATGTCATGGTGACAGGCAGCTAACTGATACACAGTCTAATGATACATGATAAAATTAATTTATGCCTTTCAAGATAAAAAAAAATGTTGTAGGCTTTAGGTTGTCCTTGGAACCTGAGGTGTGTGGACTCAGGTCTTTTGTTCAGAGGTGGCAGAGAGGGAGGGACACAAAGCTTGACTTTACACCTGCTTTTACTCTTGCTCTGCCGTTACCAGGCAGCAAATTTGGGCCTGGCACATCCTTGTGCAATGTATGAAATGGCTTATCTCATTCCATCTCTCTGGACTTTGGTTCTATCTCCTAAAACATAGAAAATCCTATCTGTCAGAGAGGAGAGCAGTGGACCAAGGATCTTTGGATGCTTTTCCAGCCTGTGAGTCTAGCATGTACCATATCTTGGCAGACTCTTGCTTCATTAAGTCTAGTGAATTCTTTTAACTGTTTCAAAGTTATGCTTCTCATTCTAACACAAAACAAGCACAGAACAAAAGGGGTATGTTCAGTCTCCTGTACAGAATTCCAGTGATGCCAGAGAACATTGAGAGCAAATCGTGAGGAAGAGAATTTAGTCTGTTAAGGATTTGTGCCAGGAGGTTGAGATGGGAAGAGATAGATGACAAAGAGTTAAGTTACTGGTTGTGACACAAAGGGGAACCTGATACAAGTGCGGCAGGAGGAGGAAGGGTGGTGTATTCATGTGCACTAGTGCCTCACTCTAAACTTATTCTGAAATCCTGTGCCACCTAGAGAAGCAGGTCCTTAGGAAAAGTGAGTCCTGAAGCTGAGGAAACCTCAACCATGAGAGGAAAGAGCCTCTTCCTCAAAGGAGGAGGGATGTGGGGGAGATGTTGGGTCAGAAGGGGAGGTCTATTTCCTGTGTTATTGGGATCCCTGAGGCCAGATTAGGGGCAATGAAACAGCTTTACAAGTGGGGAAGGATTGAGCTCAAAACCTAGTGATGGCTCGCATGTGTCAATTTCTTAGCTTCTTCATGGTTTAAGGACAGTTTGACCAAATAATATGTGCAACTCAGAGCTTTAAAGATATCAAAGTTTTGCTCCTATTGCCTGGGACACCAGCTTTACAAAGGCCCTCCTAAGAGCTGAGCCCAGAGCAGAAGCAGGCAGTTCGCCTGCAGCAGATTCCACACAGGATGACACCAGGGAGGCTGAAAGACTTCTTAGCTGCCCATTTTCTTTTTTCATCAAGCCTAAAGTGTGATCATTAGCAGCACAATGATGTGTCCCCACATTTGTCTTCCTTCGCAGGATTCCTTCCCAACTCATATAGGAAAGCTTGTCCACCATTCACCTTTTTTTTGTTTTGTCTCTTTCAGACAAGAGTATCACCGGCTGGCCTTGAATTTACTTTGTAACCCAGGCTGGTTTCAAATTCCGTGATTCTCCTGCCACCATACCCAGCCAACATTTGTTCTTAAGTCAATAAAATGTCTTTTTTTTTCCCTCAACAAGCCTTTAACACACTGGAAAGGAGAGTGAAAGCAACTCAGTGTACCTGAATGCCTTTCAGTTGGCTTGGGTACCGCATGAGCAGGGCTGATGGAAAGGGACTGAGCCCAAGACCCAGGAGAGCTTCAGAACCCTAGGAGTGGTGGCACCTCGGCCAGGAGGAATTGCCCTGGGGACTGCTGGGAGCGTTTTTACTGTCTTTCTCTTCCCTCAGTGATGGACCTTGACTCACTCGAGCAAAGGCATGAAATACCTTTGCTACTACAGGAGTTCAGAGTGAGTGGCTCTGTCTCCACTGATATTGTAATAGCCTCAGTGGAGGCAGAGAACATCTCACAGTGAAACAGCCGTTTTGGAGAATGCAAATAAACTAGTACTGGGACCGTAGCAAGCATTTATCTATGGTGGCAGGGGAGGTCCAAGGACAGTGTTCTCTGAACATTCTAGAAACACAGGGTGCCACACCACACAGCAAAGGGCTTTGGAGCCTGGAGAACTAATGTGTCAAGCTTTTGCAAGCCCTTGGGACCTGAAACCAAAAGCTAGAAAAGCCCGCTCCTGCAGGAGGTGGGATGCCAGGGAGGCGCCTGCCTCCTTTTACACAGTTCAGAGCTCAGAGCGCCCAGCACATCATCTGATTGTAAGCATGAAAGGACACTCACAAAGCCCTGGGTAAGCAAACCTCACCAGACAAAGGGTGGCTTCACGAAGACATGGAAGATTCTCCACAGTTTGCTCTGCTTGTGTTTTGAAGTATTTAAATTAATTAAGGATGCTTGAGTGAAGCATTTTGTGAAGGTAACAGAACAGTTTTGGTGCAAAGACATGGTTATGAAGGTCCCCAAACAAAACTGCACCGACCCCTCATTACGTGGGTTTGTAAGTGCCAGCTGTCATTCTCTACCAGGCCTGCTGTCTTAAAACTAACCTTCCTGTCACCTCTGCTTGTCTCCCTCACTTGTCCTATTATGCAGAACCAAGCTGAGTCATTGTTTCAAGCCGGGGTGACATGTTAATAGCTTAATAATAGTATAATCTCACAAATAATAATATGCTGTCACCCTGTCTGAAGCACAATGTTTACAGGATACGTGGTAATGTATGATGACAGTAATTTGAATAAAAATGAATTTACTGCTCTTGTCTCATTTGCAGTAAATTTTCACATCTTTCATGCACAACTGTGCTCTCCGACCTCCCTCATCACTGTGCAGGGCTGTGGTGGCAGTGGCTTTAGAGTGAAAGGCAGGTAAACACAATATACCCACAGCTAACCGCCCATCTCCGAGAAGCAGCTCGCCATAGCTTCTGGAAGAATCTTTGCTTGTTACCTAAATAAGTCAACAAAGCCTGGGCTATTTAATTATTTCAAGCTTGAGGTACTGGCTGGGGAGCAGATAAGGACTGATAAGATGTGGATTGACAATTCTACAATGATTGTCACTAAGTGTGGGGGGTGGAGAGAATGGCTTGGAATATGAGTGATCCTTGGTGAGGTAGTGGACTGGACCAATTTCCGGGAAAGGCCTCTGCAATCAGATCATTCTGTGCAGTTTGGTTCTTGTTCCTTCCAGGGGATCTCTATCTCATCAGCAGCCACAGCTACACACAGGCACCACCTGGAATGCTCCACCCACTCACACAACTTAGTGAATCTGAAGAGGCATGCGATGGCCTGTGGTCACTGTGGATTTGTGCTCCTGGATGCTATTTGTAAAGACCTGCTAAGGGAGGCCTCTGGGCTGCCTGACATTACTGCATTCTTCATGGTGAAAAATTAATATGTGAGTAATTGGTCTCAAATGAAGCTGTGAGTAAATTATGTTGAGTGTACAGAGAAGAAAGTTATGACATCCAGCTGACATGCTGGAACTGGATATAATTTGATGGAATGAGGACAACAAATTGGAATTTGCTGGGACTTTAACAGTGACAAGAAAGTGTTTCCAAAAATGTTCCAAGCTTTAGACATGCATGAGGAAGAGCTGGCTAGGCTGAGATGCTGCTGCTCTGGGTGGCTGTGGAGGGGCATGCTTGGGCTATGCTGGGCACACCTGGGGTTTGCAGCTGCACTGTTCTTCATCAATGGGGGACACAGAGGTACCCCATGGAAAGCACTCCCTGATCCAATTAATGAAGGCAGGAAGAATTCATCTGCACACTCAGAAGAGACATCGAAGGCCTATGTTTGTGAAGGAGCAGAGCCTGGGAGTAGAATGAGAAGTGAATTTGTTAGTTTTGGGATTGCATATGGATATAAGCACCCATATCATTTAAGACTTCCAGAATGTGCTAGCAGCAAGTTGTAAAAATCATTTTGTGAATATGTGAAATAAGCAAATTCCTTGCACTCAAAGTGGATAAATGGAGAGATAATTTATTAACAAGTTAACCTTAAAGTAGCCTGGGAACTTTTCAATATGTGCCTAGACATGTATTGTGTCCACCAGATTACTGCAATGCCAAGTTAGCCAATCAGTGTAAAATTTTTCCACATACAAACTGTGAGTCCTATGACTACTTCCCTACCCTGCTCGGCAAATCCTGGTATTCTTTTAAGAACAGTGTCAGGATATAGCTCAGTGGTATGGCACCTGCCTAGCAAGCATGAGGTCCTGAGTTCAATTCTTGAAACAAAAGAACTCCAAAATAAATAGATAAAGAACAAATGATGTTATTAAAAATCAGATATAGAGTGTAATTTTTAGTATAAACAGCAAATCTGTGCTGGTGTTACCTCTCGAGAAACCATAGGTGCTACATTTATATGAATAAGAAATACTGCTAGAAAACGTCACCTTAAGTCTTTCTGATCATGTACCATTAAAATCACATTTAGTGCCAATGGCTACGACTCTGGGAGTGTTAGTTGCTAGTTCTTTATTTTTAGTTTCCGCTTTCTATCAGAAAATTTCAGACATGACTGAGGTTTTATTTCCTAAAATAAATCAGTTGAGCATAACTTAAGCACTTAAATTTAAAATAAGAGACAAGGTAAAATATTTGATAGCTGCCTATGCCTGTGCCCTCATGCAGTAGGCCAGACTGAGGATTCCATCACATACTTTGGTTAGTGGACAAAATATCTTGCAATCTCATTTATGAAATGATTTCTTTAAAGACTAAAGGTCTTTGAAAACTATCAAATCTATGGGCCCCTTGTCTTTCCTCTGAGTTGACACTGTTCCGTGTTTTTGAGAGATCATCCTTCCTCAGTTTCCGGGGTGCTGTTCTTCTCTATCCTCTCTCAGGATCTCCTGCTCTCTGGCTGGCTCCTGTTGTTCCCAAGGCATTATTCCCAGGAGTCCCTGACTGCCACCCTGAGCTCCTCCAGTCCTGCATCCTTGCAGGTCTTTTTGATCAATGCACCTCTGCAACCCTATGCTGGGATGATTGGCTGGTTAGTCACCCTCAGTGATTACTCCTGTTGCATTTTATTTGCCAGCCAAGTGTGAACTTGTGCAGGTTTTTGAGAAGACCATTGTGAAGGGCAGATTGCTGTAGACCTAGAAAGCAGGATACAGTTTTCCTCTTTCCTCTCTCCCCCTCTAACCTCCCGTCTTCACTCCACAGGATCCTGCTTCCCCATCATCCCTTGGATGTGACTGTTTTTCCTTTTGTCTCTCATGCGCTCCCTCCTCCCTGCAGCTTCTGAGGTATGACTCAAAATGTTGAGACCCTCATAAAGATGAACCCCAGATTCCAGAATGAGTCGTATGCACCACCTCCAAGAATGAAGAGTGCTGATTCACAAATGAGCTTCTTTAATCTTGCATGCTTTCAGTGAACCAGGAGTTGTGTCAATGGTGGCAGCCTCCAGGGAGGCCCTGGCAGTCTGTGTGAGCCCATGTGGGTGTGTGAGTTTGCTGCAGTGGGGCGAGGAGACCCGTGCTCTCTCTAATGCTGCCTCACTGTGACTGATCTTTGTACTTTCTGACATTTAAAAATTTAATAACTTATCATTTATTTCTCATTGCAAAGGTTAAAAAAAAAGATGTTAGGAGAGCAGATAGGAAATAGGAAAAATAAAAGCCAATATTTTTACCCAGAGATGAGAACTTAATTTGTCCCCATAGTCTTTAAATGCTAAACTTTTAAAAACCAAGAATATAAACTTTTACATATACTATGAATTTAACATTTTTTAATGTCAAAATTTGTATTTCCTCTCCTCCTAAGCAAATGTGAGAATTTTCTTTCAGGATAAACTCTTTATAGACATGGTTTTGCTGGCTTCATATCAGTCCTCTGAGTAGAAGCACCAAATTTGTGAGACTGTTCTCTTATGACTGATCAGTTAAGCTTGTTCTAAATGAATATATTTCGATATAAATGTCTTTCTGAGTTTCAGATTATTTCTGTGGGGCAGTTTCCCAGAAGTAGAATTGTAGGGTCAAAGGGACAACATAATATTCTAAATTTAAAGATATATATGGCCAAAATATTTTGGAAAAAGATATATCAGTGAATGTAGTTCCATTAACTCTGAAAGAAAGGAAACACCTTCATTTCCTTTTGCATCTAAAAAGGATCTTTTCTAATCTTCTGTGTTTTTGTAGTTAGTTGCTATATATTTCCTTGACAAATAACTAATGGTTTATTGTCATCATCTAGATGCTAATGAATTATATTCTACAAATCTTTTTGCTTGTTATTTTAAAACTATTTTAGGGGGCCGGGGATTTAGCTCAGTGGCATAAGTGCCTGGCTGGCAAGCGTGAGGTTGTGAGTTTGATCCCTGGTACCAATAAATAAACAAATATTTCAAACAAAAAGTTTGCAAGAGTAACACAAAAAACTCCTTCATCTCTTTCTCTCAGATACGCCTTTGGAATTTCTCCTTCCACAGGGATCTTTAGGTTCCAAGGCCTGGGGTCATGTCTGTCTAGGCTTCTCCAATTGTGAGCAATTTTCATGACTTTGGCAGTCCACGTGGCCATAGGCCAATCATTGTATATAACACCCTTCATTATGTTTCATCTATGCTTTACAGACTTATGTTTTATATTTTGGCAAAAATTCCACAGGAGCAGTGCTGTCTTCTTCCGCTGTGTTCCTCGTGGCATTTCTGATGCTGCTCCTCTGTTCCCTGATTTATGTGCTATCTGATGAGCTGTAGAAAACTTACTGCCTTCCTCTCATGGATAAGCATGGTAAGAAGATCAGACTTGTGACTAAGCAAGACACCAACCATTACCCCATTCCTCACCCACGAGTTTTAGTACCCATTAAAATTTTTTATCTACAAATGTTATTCCCATGATATTTGCCAAATAATGATTTTCTATCTCCATTATAACTTTTACATTTATTAGTTGGTATCCATTCATACTTGTTCCCTATTTATTTGCTGGTATTTATTTATGTCCCTATTTTATTCCTTGAGTTATAATCTTATGTGCTTACTTTGTTTAATGAGTTATAATCTTTTACTATTATTGTTTATTTTACTGCTTGAATAGTTCCAGTTTCAGCCATTAACAGCTCTTTAAGTTGTTCCCTTGACCTTTAGATATGTCATCTTCATTCTGCAAGCTCTTCCTTATTTCCTGGTGAATAGATGTTCCAGGATAACCTTGCTTTTTTCTTTTCTTCTTGCAGCCTTGGAACAAGCCACTTCTTCAGGCTCCTCTTGGGAGTAAATGATACTTTGAAGCCAAGATCTGGTTGGGGGTGTGCATTGCTCCTGGGGCTGCTGTTCCTTGGTCTTGCGGACAGAGCAAGAAAGCAAAATTATGGATGCCAGGGACACAAAGTGATGCTAGTGTTTGTTTCTGAGCCTGTTTGTGTAGTCACGGCCTCCATTTCAATTGGCCTTGAGATTCATCTAACTTCTCTTTCATAATGTTCCTCCTTTTTCAGCCAGTGAAAACCTGGCTTCTGTCATCCTTGATATATTCTTTTATCTGTGTGATCATCTCTGTTGCTGCTAATTATTTTGTTTTGTATTGGGTGTTTTCTGTGGTTTAGGCAAGCCTACAACTCAGGGTGAACACTGGGTTTGCAGGCATGCACCATTAAGCCAGTTTACTGTTCATTCTTGACTTATCAAGCTGCTGCCCACTCACACTGACTCCTGGTTTGATCCTAGCTGTATGTGCTGCCTTACTATCAAGAAGGAAAACTGGAAGAAAAGAAAGGAGGGCAGGAGGAAGAAAACTGAAAGAAAGAGGGAAGGTAGGTAGAAGTCAGTGAACTCAAATTCCAGGATTTTGTTGGCTCTGCACCTGCCTAGATGTCTTCACCTATATGAGAGGCAAGCATATTAGTAGGCAATGCATACCAAGATAAATGACTCTTTGAAAGTGTGAGGATATCTTTATCTATCAGAGGATATCTTTATCCTCTGACTTGTGGCTCCTCAAAAGTGACAATCATGAAGGTTAGCAGTGTTCTTTGGAGCCTGGGCATTTAGTTATAAGCCCTTGAACAGTTGCTTAGTAGTTATAAGCCTCTGAGCAATAACTTCATTTCTTTGTGACACTGTCTCCTCATTTGTCAAATGATGATAAAGGTAGTACTGTCCTGTAGAAGTGATAGTACTAAATCAGTTAACACAAATAAAGCATTCGAATAACACCTAGGACTCAGTAAATGTTAGTTTTAGGTGTCTGGTCTTTGCTGACTGTTGGAGATGATCTTCTAAGACTTCTTACTTCCAGGCAGCAAAGCCTCACACCAGGTCTGCACAAGCACTCAGGAGCACTCGGTGAAGAGCCAGTGAGATGGGTTTCTGCTGCCTGCAATGCTGCCTCCTGTTTCCTTACCTAGGAGTTTGTCCCCAGTCCCAGTTCTCTTTGCTGATCTCTAGGAGTCAATATCTGTTCTCAAAATCCCCCACCGCAGCTCCTAAGTCACTCTGTACATCTCCTTGCCTGCTCCCAACACAGGGAAACTATTATTCTGTGTGCTGCGGTGCTGTGCTCTGGGTCCACCTGCATTTACAATGACTTCCTGCCAAGGCAAGAGTATCTTTCTTCACAGAGACCTTCTGAGTTAGGAGATTTCAGGCTATCCTTCAAATGGCAGACAGAGAAGACAAAGTAGACAACTAGCTTTGAGGTTTGGTGGTGCCACCTGTCATGGGCTGAGCTGTTTCTCCTTGAAAATTCCTTTGTCTAAACTGCCCCTCTCTTAAAATGAGACTATATTAGGAAAGAAGGTCTCAAAGCAGTAACCATGGTTAAATAAGGTCATTAGAGTGGCCATCCCTTGGGAGGAAGAGGTGAGGAGAAGACACACACAAAGGAAGAATCTATGATGACATGGAGAAGTGGCCATCCATAAGCAAAGAAAGGCCTCCCTGGAAGGAAATACTCAAGCCAACACTGTGACTGTATAGTCTCAGCCTCCAGAGTAATATAGAAGGAAAATCTGTTGGTGAAACCTCTCTATTGGTGGTACTTTGTTTTGGCTGCCAGAGAAAACTAATATGCTACCTAACTCCTATATGATCTTGGGAAACTTAACATCTCTGAGCCTTTGGGAATTTACTATATAATAAGGAGTTTAGAGTCTCCTGGCTGTCATATCATATGCCTCTGAGGATCTATCCCAAGAGCACATAACAGCTTTTTCAATATTAGCCCCAGAAAAATTAAAGAGCTACTCTTGTTGGACTGAAGACAGTGAGAAGTCGCAGAGTCCTGTGACCAGTTACACATCCTCATTCACTTGGTTCCCTGCAAAGCATTTGCCTGGTACAGCTGAAGAATTCTGTATAAGAATGAGACTTTGTAAACTTATTTCCTAAATTCTAGTTCTAAAATCCTGATATTTTGACTACAATTGTCTCTTTTCATTCTTCTATTTTTAGCTAGTGATTGTTTAGATTTATATTATTTATGTGCTTAACATTGATTTTTGCTGTGCAGACATACTAGGTACAAAACCATGATGAGGTTGTTGTTTGGCGGCTTGGGGTACTTGGGGTGCCAGTTAGTGCTCGTTCTGATCTCCTTGTTCTCTAAAGGAAATAGACACTAAACAGGAACCATCTGGTAATGCGTTCTGCACCTCTTAATTACAATGTTTTGAGTGGCACCTAAATAAATTTCATTTACAAGCACATGACTGCTTGTCAAAACTCTGTTGATAATTTTATTATTGTAATATACTTTCTTCCTTAATTATTTAGTTCCAGTAAAGTCAGGAATATTAATTTTTATGGAAATTACCTGGACCAACAAACCTAAGCCACAAGCCTGCTTTTATTTATGTACATATATTTTGAAATGTGTCTTAATAAATCTGCCCAGAAGCCCATCACAGTGGATTCCTATGGGCCATTTGAAACTTCTGCTCATCTTGACTTTTTAAGTATAAAATAGAAAGAAATGGGATACTTGCTGATAACCTGGAAGTTTGCAAGAAACTGCTTGAAATAAAGTCATGCAAATGACATGCAAATGCAGAGTCAGCTCCTCCGCCCCACACTTGCCTCAGTGACCTTGAGGTCTTCACATGACCCTCTCTGGGGGACAGAATGGCTGTGTGGTGTGGAGTCACACCCAACATGAGTGCTTTGATTTCATTAACAAAAGCAGTTTGGAACATGTGCTTGTCAGATGGACAAAGCATTTTGGTCAGTTATTTGGTGGTTTAAATCCTCTGTACCAGCTCTTCACCTCTAACCACTCCTGTTTATTCACTCTATTTGATCATAAACAAATGTGAGTGCTGTGGTTGGAGCCTGGTCTTGGGGGAATATTTATCCAGGCTGTAAAATACCACAAACTTACTACTGCTGCTCTCCAAGCTAGATATCCAGCCCAAGATGCCCTGGGCAGCCACTGCCTCCCCCACACTTGTGGCACCCGATCTAGGAGGCTGCAAAGTGAATCTTGGCTCAGTCCCTCACTGGGGACATTTCTTATCCTCTCTCTTGGTAGCTTTTTGTTGTAGAAGGCTAATGGAGTGGGGCTCATATGTATGCAAAGTAGAGCGTGTCTTTAGGGCCCCACCAGAAGCCAGGGCTGGGACATGCTTGGAAGTACATGCAGAGAGGAACATGCAAGTGCCTGTACAGTTCTGCCCCAACTAACGGGTACTGGGCAGTCTCAGATTTCCCTCAGCTCTTCTCCCTTTTGCCCATGTGTTTCTGGTGCTTCCTACATGTTGAGGCTGGTAGAGAGGGCAAAGTAAATCAGGGCATGTATCACACAGCTATGACAATGTCAGAGGTGAGAAAGGTCACTTTGCTCATCACCTGCTACCCTGTGACTTGTGCTCATGTCCCCAGGCTCTGGGGTACTCCTGTCCACCTCCCTTTTGGTCCTCATCTACCTTCCTATACAATGCAAACAACTTCAAGAATGAATTTGGGCTGTAGGAGGAACATGGAGTGAGTTTGCAGGAGGTGTGGCCCAGGGGAAGCTTGTGCGAAATTGTGCTGGGATGCTGAGCAGCTGCTGGAGGCCAAGGGATCCCGAGTCCATCAGAATGACTTCTCGGGGTTCATTGTTCCAAGGTGTCCAGGCGCCACTAGCTAAGGATGGCAGAGCAATTGGAGCTGCTGTCTCCTCTGAGGGTGAAACTCACCCAGGGCTGGGCTTTGCCTAGAAGATTAAAGGCAAATTCCTACTTTAAAAATAAAGCCAAGCTGTGTTTTGCACCTTTTGACACTTATTAACTTAGGTCATTAAAAAAGAGGCTAATTAAAAATGAAGTAAAACAAAAGAGTCATTTGTCTCATGTGAAGCCTGCTCTTTCTGCCTTTGCTCCCCAGCCCTGGGGATGGAGCACCCTCCTCTCCTTTCCCTCCCTCCTTAACTGACTGCTAGGAGCCTCATTATACACCTCGTAAAGGAGAGAAATCATTGTCCTCAAAATTAGCCTGAGCTGGAATTTACATTCCCTGGAAATTTTGGTTTCCTCATTGTCCTTGGAGACCTTTACCGGTTGCAGTTAAAGTAAGTGAAGTTCGATAAATGCTTAGTACTTCATTAAGACATTTCTGAGCAAGCCTGTTTGCTCTAAGTGATATTTTGCAATCATTGGTGAAGGTCTTTTGGTCCCATTTTGCAAGTACACCCTTGTCCTGCAAAATGACCAGAGGAGTAGATTGGCCTTTAGTGATGACAAAGTCAAAACTCAAAACTGAAAATGTTGTCTTGTGTGGAAGCAGTTCGTCTCTTCCAGAGAAAGAATGATTCTGTCAAAGGACTGTAAGCACAGTGCTTACTGATCTGGCCTTGGCAGCTTGCTTATTTTATGTATATGAGAGCTGGCATTTCAGGGAATCCTTGGAAATTCTAAATCTTGACATTTAGCCATCCCCAAAGTCACGTGTCTTGTAATTGCTTTGCTCAGAGTCTATGTCTTCTCTACACTTTGAACGTGGAACCGTTGTTCCTCTCCTCACTTCCAGCCCTTGCTACCAAGGACCCCAATCTGGCATCTTTCTAGCATTGCTGGCACCTTTTAAGCAAGCCATGCCAGGTTTGGGAGGGTTCCAGAGTCTGCCTTGTGTCTTTCCACTTCTTATTTTGGAGGTGTCAGATGGCAGTTTGGAGGCTCTAGAAAAGCCGCCTGTTGTCTACACTTTGTTACTTTTCCAATTGTTCCCCTCTGTGGTAGAAAAGGAAGGGTGATTTTCATTGCAGGCTCCCTAGTTGTATTAGTTGTATTATGAAATCTGCTGTGAGCGTGTGTCACTACATTAAAAATAAACCAGTAATAACCTAGCAGTGCCAGGGGAGGACAAGCAAGGTGGGAGAAGGGCAAGGAAGGACCCAGACCCAACTGGAGAGGAGCTGTGGTCCTTGGCCAGGGACTAGGAGGCAAGTGAGCTAGTGTGCACAGCTCTAGGCTTGTGGATGGCTCAGGAGGGACAAAGGGAGCAGCCGGGCCATTTCCAGGCTTGCTGTTTCTACCTGGAAAGCACTGTGCGCTTTGGAGGGAAGAGTTAATGTTGGCTGCAAACAGTGCCACCGTGGATAGCAACCTTCATTTTGTGCTGGAATCTGGCTACGACAGCAGTATCCTGCAGGAAGCAAGCACGTCCAACAATTCATTTCTGGGTTCAGGGATATAATGAACACATCAGGTCAGGCTCCATCCTGCCAGGGGCATGTATATGACATTTTTACTTCCCAGTCTGTGTGGTCTCATCCAGGGGAATGGACACTGAGGACTTCCTTGCCAAAGTAGCCCATTTGAACAGCAGCACTTTATACCTGTTTGTGAATATTCATAGCAATGGCAAAAGAAAAAAAACATAACAGTGTTATCGTTGTTGAAATCTTCCGGGACAGGAGTGCCAGCCAGTGATGATTTAAAGAAGACTTGCCCAAGCCCCTTTCACCAAGACAGTGACAGTGCTCTGGAAAAGCTTCACAGATGTAGAGGCTACATTTTGTTTTCTCTGCATGTATGTTTTCTCTGAAGCCATAAGTGTGCGACAATGAAATCTTCCTTGCAGAGATCCCCATTATGCACCGGTCCCCTGAAGCTGCTGAGATGACACCACCTCTTACAGGTGGCAGAGAGAATGCGGCAAAGCCCCGAAGTCTCAAGTCACAGCAATCATCTTCAACTCCCAAATTGTCCTGGAAGGAGAATGGCATCGGATTTGTCTTAGGCTGTTTGGCCAAACTGGAGCACAGATGGGATAATGACTTTTACAAACAGCATTTTGATGAGAGGAGGGGAGAAGGAATCATATGTAAAATGCACAAAGGCTGCATAAACACACTGATGCCTGCAGCTGGAACAAACTAAAAAGATGTTTAATAATTTAGAACCAAGCAGGCAGGGCCTGTGCAGCTGTTGTGTGCAGGGGACCATGAAAATCTTCCATTTGACAGCTGGCCCCATCTTTCCCCAGTTGCTACGTGAAGAAGAGAATGCAGATCTGGGATTAGCCAATCCCTGTTACCCTTGCCCATCTGCCACCAAGACCCCCAGCTCTGCCTTCCTTGCAGAGAGGCGCACACATAAAGAAGGCCAGCCTTCCCAAGCATATGCATGCGTCGCTATTAGCCGTCAGGGCCACCGCTCCCAGGATCTGTTGACATGCCGCCAGTACATGGCTGCTGTCGTTTTTGCTGGAGGGCACATTTTGCATTTCACACATTTGCAGAAATACAAAATGCTGTTGGATGCAAACAATTCAGGGCCTAATTGGCTGAATTACTTCAATGTTACCTTGTGTCCCCCACCTGATTAACATAGCTCAGCTGGGAGGGTTGAGGAAGGAGGAGGAGAGAGGGATTTGGAGGGCAGGTGAAGCTGTGTTTGCCCAGGAAAGCGAGATTCTTAGTGAAGTCCCAGCTGAGCGTGGCCTGTGCCAAGCAGATAGCTCAGTGCGGGAGGGGCCGCAGCCACTGCATTCTTCCACAGGAAGCCAGGAGGAGGAGGCTTGATTGAGGAACAAAAATATTTCAACGCATAGAGGAGGCAGGCTGTTGGGGAGGAACAGGGGACAGTGTCCTTTTTGTGAGATGTCCAGGGTTGTGTAACCTCACTGTCCCCCAGGTAGGCACAGCACAAGGCAGCCAGCCGGGTCTACTGGCACCAGTGCCAGGAGTGTGTTGTAGTCACAAAGACCAGCCTGACAAAGATCCTTCCCTTCCTAACTCGACTCCCGACTTGCCTGCACAACTGAGTATGCTTGCTTAAACTGAAGAAAATTTCCTCCAAATTTGTTTGGCTTATTTAAAAATTGAAAACCCTGCTAATCCCAATCCTGAATTAATTTCAGAGTGACAAAAGCCACAGAGGAGTTAATGATCATTATTAGAGAATATTCTGCAATTGCGTCCTATTATTATTAATGAGGCAGATTAGCATATTTTTTTGTATTTAGAAGAATTTGGGGAGCTTGAGAAGGATGTAAAAATGATGAAACTGAAATGGATTTTTTTTTTTTTTGCAAAGAATAACATTCTACAGTGAATAGTAGCATTTGCATTTTTTCAATAAATTATCTTATATCTTGGACTTTTCCTATTCAAATAATTGCAGGGAAATAGTGTTTTTGATCACACTGCCCAATAAGTGTGTTCTTTTAGAGGAGGGTGACTCTGATGGATGGAGAGAAGTCATTTAAGGTTCCCTTTTCATTGAATGTGAATATCTTAAAACACATTTTATCTCTAGTCCAACCCTGTGAGCCACCTAGACTTTCTAGAAATAACCTTCATGTTGCTGCCATGGCCCCTTTCCTGGATTTGAAAAGGGCCTGGCTAGAGCTGCATAC